GAGAGAGAGAGAGAGAGAGAGAGAGAGAGAGAGAGAGAGAGAGAGAGAGAGAGAGAGAGAGAGAGAGAGAGAGAGAGAGAGAGAGAGAGATGACATGCCATACCATTCAGAATTATCCCTGCATAGGGACGAGAAGTGCCAATGTTCCGACAAATGTGATTAATGCCGTTGCACAGCAGTCAGAATGATCACTGAATACGTTCGCCGGATATTATGGTGGTGGTCACCTGAGCCAGGTTGTTGCTTAGTCTGTAGCAGGTTTGGCCAGCTGGTCAGTTCTCTGCAGGAAAATGGACAGTGGATCGATGGGTGCAAAGGCATCCGACAAAACCGCCGTTGTGAATAGTTATTCCCATCCAAGGATGGAGGTCACGGTGCTGAAATTGCCGCCTACCCTTCGTTCAAAGCTCCTTGGCTCCGGATTTCGCACGGTCGGGGACTTGAAAGGCATAAGCGCTGTTCAGCTTGCAAGGGATGCACAACTGATGCACGAGGAAGCACTGCAGGTGCTGAAGTCTCTACCCCGGGTCTCCTCTGCGTCTGGGAGTGCGTTGGCTGGCGCACAGACAGCCTTTGAGATATTGCAACAAGAAAGAGCCCAGACTATGATAAGCACGATGTGCGAGGAATTCGACACACTCTTAGCAGGCGGAATATGCCCCAAAGCAGTGACCGAGATCTGCGGAATGCCTGGGATTGGCAAAACACAGCTAGGAATGCAGTTGTCGGTCTCTGTGCAGACACCTTCAGAGTTGTCGGGAGCTGACGGAGAGGCATTGTACATAGATACAGAGGGGAGTTTTATGGTCGAGAGGCTCGTAGAAATGGTTAATGGCTGGCTGGAAGATGTTCGGCAGGCTGCCGCTTGTTCTAAGAAACCGGAGGCGGAAAGGGCAGCTAGCAGATTAAGCAGGGACGAAGCTCTTGCCAACATTCACTATGTACGCGTTCATGACCACACGGAGCAGATTGCCGTCATCAACACGCTGGACAACTTCTGCAGAGAGCATCGACGTGTGCGACTTGTCGTCATTGATAGTGTGACTTTCCATTTTAGGCAGGATTTCCAAGACATGGCACTGCGGACTCGATTGCTGAATGAGATGTCGATGAAGCTGATGAACGTTTCAGAAATGCGCAACGTTGCAATTGTACTCATCAATCAAGTTACGGTAAAGAAGATGGGAGCAGTCGGAGATAAGCGTAATTCTGCGGCAATGATCGTGCCGGCTCTTGGCGAAAGCTGGTCGCATGCATGCACAAATCGCCTCGTGCTGTTCTGGATGGATGATGGCCGATACGCTCACCTGTACAAATCGCCTTCGTTGAAAGCTGGAATGGCGCCATTTTCTGTGACATCGAAGGGCATTCGATCTGCGAGGGAGAGTCGCAAACGCCCGCACCCCGATTACAACGAATGACCTTGAACCACCGGCTCGGCTATCGTCTTCCCTGAATCGAAGGGATGGTCATTATTGCCGTATGTGGGGCAACTTTCAGTATAGACACAGTGATAATGACTGTCTGTTCTATTCGGTGGAAGACGGTACCTTTTACGACCCCCCTCGTTCTCTCGAGGCCTGCCCTTTCTTAGCAGACCAGCCTTTGCTCTGTGAGCTCATTGGGTCAACGATTTTGATCCAACAACACAGTTTCTCTTTCTGTCTCACTAATGGTTAATAGATGGTGCCATTTTCGGCAAACTTTTCACCGAAACTGCCATATTTCCCTGTTTTTTTTTTTTTTTTTTTTTTTTTTTTTTTGTGCGTGTGTGATATGTATGTGCTTCAGGGTATATCTGTATTCAGTTTTGACGTATTTGGACCAGTAACGAAAAAATTGGCAAAAACACCGAATTCGGAAATTTTCGTGAAAATTTTGAATGAGTTTGCTTGTCGTGATGTGGCGAAAACCCCCGAATTTTGGGCCTTCCATTAACCATTTCTCAGTTTAGTGGTTAAACTCCTGGGCAAGGCTGTATTGCAAGCTTATCGCCTCCCCTTCTTGCCTCCCTACCTCTCTCAGCCCCCTTCCTTTTTTGCTGTTTTCCCTCTTCTAGGGCCACTGTACTGCTTCTTTGGTGGTGGTTTGCAGTTCCAGGCAGCCTTATTTAACTTGCTGCAGGTGGAGAGTGGAGATTTCTGCTTCTGTTCCCTCTCTCTCTCTTCCTCTTCCCCCCCCTTCCCCCCCAAAGTTTAAAAGGACCATTTATCGATATCTGCGTGTTATCCTTGTGCAAGGGCCATGCTAATCTTCTCTGTATCATTTGAAGTTTAACGTATGTCCCGAGCACCTTCTGCTTCTGCTCCAAGTTACCATAGTTGTTTATCTGGAACTCTGCTTCTCTGTTTCAGTCCCTCTGGGACTCTGCTGCTTCCGTTTCGGTCCTCCTGGAGGTCTGGTTCTTCTGTTTCAGTCCTTCTGGAACGTTGCTTCTTCGTTTTCAGTCCTTCTGGAACACTGCTTCTTCTTCTTCTTTTTTTTTTTATTTTGAAATCAGTCTTGCAAATCCACACTCAAACATGCATGCAACAGATGAGAATAGCCTGGCGCTGTGCACCCAACTCAAACTCGGAGATATGGTAGCTTGCAACTCAACTCAAATCCAAATTTACTTCAGTTGACTATGGCGCTGGGCGCCCACACTTACACGTTCGACTCAGAGTTCACACGCAACTCGACTCCGGATCACCCTGGATACCATGCACGCCAACCACTGCACACACAAATACACACTCACTAACTATCTATGGCTATGGCACATGGCCACTAACAGCTAACTAGCCTATCACTAACTTCTGCCCTCTTCGTCTTCAGGCCATCTGCAGACCTCCCTTGCACAAGACGCCCGAGCAGCGCTTCCGCAGAGCTTCCGCAGGAATGAATGAATGGCTGGACGCAGCCTCTGGATTTATACTTCTGTGTTGCATTCGTTTGCCTTGCATCCCTGGCCCATGGGGCACACAGTCCCCTCTGTGGTACTTGCTGGACCGGACTGGTACTTTCTAGACTTTCCCATGACTGCATAGTGACAACCCTACGACGCAGTGCAGTCGCACTGGGGTCCTACTATTTGCCCTTGCCACTTGTCCTCGTCTCCAACATGGGCTTGCTTTAGTCACTCCACTTGACCACTTGCCAACCTTCTAGAAGGACTGCAGCTGGACTTCTACTCTA